AAAATGTACTAAGCATCCGGGTGGATGTGTTTCTCCGACTGTGTTTCCACTATTCAGCTCACTCTCTCTTGTGGAATGTTTAAGATAAACCGTGTTATTAATCACAATAGAACCACTACAGCATATGGGATGTATTTGCATCACCAATCATAGGAATCTAACTGCATTGTGCTACTTTTCCAAGTTACACAAACCAGCCTTTCATAAATATTTATAACCAGGAGAATGTTCACAGTCGGGGCGGGGGGGGGGGGGAATTTGGTCTCCTTTGCTTTATGATGTGTTCAGATACTAAAGGAAATGCTGCATTACAGAAGAATACTTTTTAAAATTTTGGAAGAGGATTCCTTGCACATTATAAATTGTTTAATTCCATTACATAATAAGGCTTACTTTCGTGGTATTATAAACTTGTTTTCTCAGTAGCTCATATATTAATTAGGTCTTTTCTACTAATTTTTAATTCAACAAAACATTAATCATAATATCTACATTTCAACCATTTCTCTTATACACACTTCTGTCTAATCTTTACTAATCTTGTCCCACATTTACAAACTATATATTAGGACCTAACAATAAAGAATCCATACAGCAGTGAAGTTAAGTATCAGTTCATCATCATATATTGTGGGATGTTAGCAGAAAGTATTTTTGTATGGGAAAAAAATTAAGCTATTGAAAACAGTGAGCTGTAGACATCAATATTCAAAAATTGGAAACAATGTATTTTGCTCATTATTAAAATCAGGCTTATAGTATATGACTAGAAGTGGATAAAAACGTGCTCATGCCATAATGAAGCTAACGTGTGAAAGTAAAGAAACTAATTTACAAAAATAGTTCTGTTTGTGGGGATATGCGGTATGTAGTCATTTGCTATGGTGAATATGTAAATTAAAAGCAATTCCAGAAGTCGAGTACCTACAAATCTTCATTCCTTCAGTTCTTATGCTATATAATTCGTGCTTCCTTTACATTACAGGCTGATCAGTCTCCTGAACGATGTTTCTGGAAAGTGTGATTTATTTATTTAAACTATTGAACTGAGTGTGCAAGGAGTAACATACAATTCCTGCTGACTCTAGCATCTTGTGATTTTTTTTTAACAATGCTGCTATCCTGAGAGATTTTTGCAGTATAAATCTTATAGGTGAAAACCAGACTCCGCTGAGGTTAATGGCAAAACTCCCATTGACTTCACTGGAGCCAGGACTTCACCCTATGTGTTCAGATTCTCTGCAAAATGTTTTCTTACATGGAGAAGAATTTTCTGCATCAAAAAGAATCAGAGTTTTAAATGTCTAGGTGCTATGGCTTGCTCACTCAGACGAGTGTTAAATGTGTTTGCAGAACTCAAAGCAGAGCTCCCTTCCTCATCTGAAATCAGAGAGGTTCACTACAGCAACAAAGAGTTTCACAAGGAAAATAAGGAAAGCTGCAACTTACTTCTTTTTTGTCCCTCTTTAGTGCTCTGTGTCCTGTGGACGAGGAGTTCAGCAGAGAAATGTATATTGCCACCTGGGCACTCAGAAACCAGCCAGGGAGACGGACTGTTACCAATTCACAAGACCAGTCTCTGAACAGGAATGCCACATTGCTGAATGTCCCAGTTATAGCTGGGAAATGGAGGAATGGCAAACTGTAAGTAGAAAGGGCCCGTAGCAGGCAGCTTCAGTGGTATTCAAAGCATACCAAAGTAAGACCTTCTTCCTGACGTTTACCAGGATCACATTACTCGTTCTGTGAAGTGTGAACTACAGAGAGACTTAGGAGATGGCTGGCTTGTTCAAAAGATTGTTGTCAGATGGCCAGGGTTTACACTAAACAGGGTTGGAGCTTGCCTTGAGACAGACGGAGGGTGTATTTGTGTGTTTGCGTCTGTATGTATGTGCATGCATTTAAATTTAAAACTTTAGATTGCCAAAAAAAGAAAAGAAAAGAAAGTCTGGCATAAATTACATAGTGATGTATGCAGACTGGGCCAGTTTTTTAGAAAGTGCCAAAGAAAGCAGTGGAGCATAGGAAGATGCATAGTACAGGTTTATATGTGCATGCTGCAGAATGTTTTGGTAGGACCTGCATGAAGCCAGTATTTTTCACATTTTGCTGACGCAGCACCCGATTCCGCCCCACTTTTCCCATTTATTACTAGCTGCCTTTGGGCGCGAGTCTGCCATCCGTACACATGCAGGAGTAGTAACTTGGTAAGTACGTTTGATTGAGCTAAATTTCGCTATTTGCAGAGCTGTAGGAAGCTGTGGAAGCTGTGCATTTAAAAAGTAACCTCCCACACTACATCATCATCTATGTTCCTTTGGGATACTTGTCCAAACTCCCTCCACCCCACCCCCCCAACGTGATAACTCTCCCCATCCAACATGAGATTTCTCCTCCTTATTCCACCAGTCCAGCATCTTTGAAACACACCTAGGTTCAAGCTGCACTCAGATCTCTTGCACTGTGTTCTTGCACTTACTGTGACCGGTGCGTGTGTAACCCATACCCTCCTGGGTGTGGTGTTGTGTCCCATAGAGTGCCACCGAGACCACTTAGAGAGAGATTAATGAGTCTGCTCTACTGCCTTAGCTAAGAGGCTTATGGCTTTTAGCTCATGCAGTAGAGGCTCATGCACTAAGCTCCAGAGGTCCCAGGTTCTATCCGGCTCGCCGATGACCAGGGTTTGTTGGTGTTACACACGGTATCAGGCATCGTTAGAATTTCAGCGTTACTTGCGGTAAACCTACTAAACTGTGTCTAAGTGGGATGATGATAGTTATCACAGAGATTATGACATACCTGCTGGACCCCGTGAATATAGCAAGGGCAAATGAGGATGAAGCCAGAAGCCTGTTCAAGGCCAGCAGGGAAGCTATGGATTCTTACTGTCTACCAAAGCCTCCAAGTAGATGTACGCTCCACTTTTCAGCTGTCTAAATCCTGCATTTGGATATTCAGGTTGCCCATTTGATTATCTAAATGCAGGATTTTTATGCCTCTTAGGCCATCCGCATTCAGAATTTAGACTTCTAATGAACCAAAATGAAGGACACAAAGACAATTAATGTAGGAAGCTTAATATGATGCCAGATTATTTTCTGAAGATAAATATGGTTGTCTATAAACCCCAGTTCACAAAAGTTACGCTAGACATGAGAACACAGAGCCAATTTTGTTCTAAAATGGCCTATGTCTCAAGGCATAATCAATTGGCAATTGACTGGTCACATGGTACTAGCCCTTCCCCCTTATTTCCAGCTGCTACGTTACATTCTAACACAGTTAAAACACATAACTTGCTAACATTACTTTTCTGCTGTAGTTACCCCAAAGTGGTATAATGGTGAATGGGAGGGGAGAGGCCTGGCTCCCAAAAGAATCCCTGTACTACACAATAGGCCAGGAGATGAAAAAGGGTGAGCGTAGGACTGTTTGAAATTTTTCAGCTGGATTGTCCAAAAAATCGTATTTTTGAAAAAAAATCTGACAACCTGCTGACTTGTTTGAAATGTTTCATTTATTGGAGACATTTTTGGTGATTTCTAGCAAAATGAAAATTGCAGGGCTGTTTCAAACACTGCACAATGGAAACAACTTTAAAATTTGTCAATGTTTAATTATGGGTTTTTTTTAAATGCCATCCCCTACTCATTGAGAACCCTTGAGCTGGATATTTCACAGTAAGCAACAGCTGACAGAAATTTCTGAGCATAGAGAGGTTCAAGTTCAGGGTTTTATTCTGCTGCTTTTGTGAGGAGAATTGCTTTGCATCCTCATGTGTAACAGACCTTTCATGAATCTCCTCTTCAGTCCAAATGGCAACCTGCTTAATGTGCCTTTTGCTCTGCCTCCTGCTGCAGGCACATAACACTTATTGATATCAGTGAGGGTTTGGGGCGCATTAAGGACCTATTGAAATCAATGGCAAAGCTCCCAATGACTTTAATGGTGCAGGATCAGAGTCTATGTACATTGTGGTTCGTAATGAAGGCTGCAATGGTGTGGATTCCATCCCATAAGGAGAGCAGAATAATCATTAAGTGATCTAGGGCCTGGTTTTAATTCACACTAAGGCCCCTTTACAGTGCTTTTGCAATGCAAAAGGGTCTTAAAGCAGGAATAAATTCTTTAAGGCCTGTTTACGCTGCCAGAGGGGGTCCTCAATTTAAATGAGAAACTGGTCCCTTCTATTCAGAATGCAAAGGACAATCTAGCGCTGCCCGTTTACTATATTCATCTGCTCAGTATATTGGTGTGCTCAAAAACTCCCATTTTCTTTATTATTGTGCTGTGGTTATATACAAGAAATAAGAAAAAAGAAATTCACAGACGAAACAAAAAGCATTTCAGTCCTGCAAAGGCTGTGGAATGTTTCACCTGCAGCAAGAAGATTCAAGGTTAAAGCAGCAGCTCCATTCTGCCCTTTTATTTGTTCCTTCTCTACTAACTCATCCTTGATTCAGTACAGTACAGTACACTCATTCATTGCAGCCAAGAGTGTAACGGATTATTGTATATACCTCACAGCCCTGTGGTACTCGGCCTTATGGACTATGTTACAGACAAATTTAACCAACTTTGTTCCATTAGCTGTGCCATAATCTTAATGTTTGAAAGCTGTAATAATGTTCTAGTCATATGTGGGGGCAGCTGAGGAACGATTCCAAGACTACTAGAAACGTTGGGGATCAGATCTGTAGCTGGTGTAAAGTGACATAAGTCCATTGACTTGAACGGAGCTACACCAATTTACAGCTGCTGAAGATCTGGCCCTGCGGTTACAAGGCTGAGGAGGTAAGGAACAGAGGCAGAACAGAATAGACTATGAGCTGTTTGCCTCAGACAGAAGTGCGTTAGCATGAAAGAAATTTGCAAAAGGCTAAGCTGCTGTCCCAAACAACACATTTTCTTCTACAGAGGACATTAAACCCATTCAGCTAATGAATATGCAAGCAGGAAGCAAAGTAGTTCACCGACCAGCATGCCGTTTTAGTACTTACCAAACAACATAATTAGCCCTTAAAGGAACTTCTCCAACCTGGCGTCCTCTCTCTCATTTTTGCAGCTGGAGAGAATGACCCGCTCCTCTTCCCACCACTTTTGTGGGAGGCGGATGTTCACACTGGTTTCTTAAAGGGCTCCCCACCGGACTGTGTGCACTCTGGAGATCTCAAGCATGTGACACATTGGATTCCAAGGAAGCTTTAGGGATAGAGGGGGGGAGAGAAAACCCTCCTTGCCCAAGAAGAATCACTAATTGAAACCCACTGCGGATGTTGCCCATTTTGAATTTGTCACTGCTTCTCTTGAAGTAGTTTTCATTTTGTCAGATGTATGGTTAAAGTGAAATCACCTCCTTGCCAGCTATAAATACAGCAGGCACGTTATTCATAGGGTTGTGGCACAGATTGCTTTAATATGCTGTGAACAAGGAATGCAGTGAACCCAAATTAACACTTATGGCATGACCTAAAATAACGTTACAGCACCGTTCACTTTTTGATTTCATTTTTTAAAGGGGGTTTGTCAAGCATTGTTTAGTCTTCCTTTTTTTAAAAACACCACTCTAGTCTTGCCAATGAAAAGCCATAGGGAACATCCTGGAAACCATCTCTTGTTATAGTCATTAATTAACTCTTCTAGCTTCTTGCAGCACTGAGGATGCTGAGGTTGCTGGGTTGAGTGGGCAGGTGCTCTATGGTGTTGGTGGCCTCTGATGTAGGGGAGACAGGCCTGCCGATGTGGGGGGGCAAAGGGGAAAATTGCCCAGGGGCCCGGACGATTTAAAGGGGCCTGGGGGGCTGCTGCTGCAGTAGCGGTGGCCGGGAGCCTCAGGCCCTGTTAAATCACCCGGGCGGGCCACAGGGCTCCTAGGCACATGCATGGCCAGCACCGAGTTTCTACTCTGTGGGGGAGGGGTGCTCTGCCCTTATGCGAGAATGCTGCAAAAGAATGGAAGTTACAAAAAAAAAAATACAAAATTGTGTATTTCTGGCATTTGTTACTTCAGGGGAAATCTTTCAGTCCTGACTTAGGCAGAATGCCCATCGAAAAATGTCAATACAAAATATTCTGATTTTGTTTTTTACTTTTTTGTTTTGTTTGCTTGCTTGACTTGAATTCACAAAATGCTTCAGTTGACCTAAAGCTGCATTTTTTGGGGGGAGGAGAGGTGGAAAAAGTTAAAATTTTTGGCTAGCTCTATTCATGAGCTTAAAGTTAAGCACCTGCTTAAGTATCTTGCTAAATCAGAGCCTAAATAGACAAGACAGAAGAAAGGCGAGAGATGCCTTAGACTTGCTTCCCCTTCCTCTTTGCCCAGGTCTTTTGCCCTTTAGGGTACATGGCAAGGTTCCTCATTTTACAGATGAGCAACTGAGGCACCAAGAGATGAAGTGATTTGCCCAGGGTCACTCATGGAATCTGTGGCAGAGCCAGGAACTGGAATCTCATTTACTGGATCTCAGTCCATGTATCTTAACTGCAAGACCCTCTTTCCTCCCTAGTTAAAAATTAATAACACACTATGGCAATATACTGTCACTGTATCTGTCCGTCACTTTGTCTTTTCACCATTGCATCTAAGGGCAAACTGGAAGTCGTGTTCGAGGATTCTTCTGCCTCTTGGACAACGTGACGGTCTGAATTTTTTCTAGTATATGTTTCAGCCTATCAAGGGAGCTTCCACCACCTGTTGCTTGTGGAATTATTGCTTGGCTTATATGAAGTTTCTCTTCATTAACTGGAGCTGGCATCAGTCTAGTTTAAAAATCGTAGAACTTATTCCTTCTCCCGTGGCATCCAGATTTCTGCAGAAACTCCCTAATTAGAATGGAGCACTTCGGTTAAGGTATATGCTGCATTGGAAAGGTGACAATTAATGCTTTCTGTTGACTGTGCTTAGAGAATCCCGTAACCCACTTTTAAATGTAATTTAAAGGAGTACTCTACTTATACCATGAGGCGATACCTGAGAAGGGCAAATATTTAGCACATCTGGTTCGCTCTCCTGGGAAATCACAGTCAAGCAAATTATTCTGTCCCCCTTAGGAGTGCTACATTTCAGTTCAGACCTAGGGGAAATTTCCACTCTTGGGACCTAAAGAGAGTAAATAAGGTTGAAAAAGCACATGTAGCCAGTGGGGTCTTTTTGCCAGGCTGCAGAGTTTTTAATATTGACTCTTGCCTAAGAGCTGCTAAATTACTCCTCCAAAATAAATGCTGCTGAGCGGGGGTGTTTGCTGGTTTGCATGATTGCTATTTACTAACTATTGATGTTGAGCCTTAACTTGCATTTCCTGCAAGCCCTCTGCACCCAAAGGGCTATGCTGCTCCAAACCACAGCACTTCTACTTGTTGACTTTTTATTTCAGCCTTCTCAAGAATTCATTTGCAGTCTGGGTTCTGACAGCTAATTAAAAACACAAGGCTCTAGTAGTACTGCCTTTCACCTAGGGCAGTGGTTCTCAAACTAGGGTTGCCACTTGTGCAGGGAAAGCCCCTGGCAGGCTGGGCTGGTTTGTTTACCTGCCGCATCCGCAGGTTCGGCCGATCGTGGCTCCCACTGGCCGCGGTTCGCGGCTCCAGGCCAATGGGGGCTGCGGGAAGGGCGGCCAGCATATCCCCCGGCCCGCGCCACTTCCCGCAGCCCCCATTGGCCTGGAGTGGCGAACCGCGGCCAGTGGGAGCCGCGATCGGCCGAACCTGCGGATGCGGCAGGTAAACAAACCGGCCCGGCCTGCCAGGGCCTTTCCTTGACCAAGCAGCGGCCCTAGTTTGAGAACCACTACCCTAGGTGTACTCGGTAGATCTCACTCGTCCTAGGAAAGCCGTGACTGGTTCAGAGAACTTGAAAATGATGTACAAATGATGAAGCTAACTGATGAAACCCGAGGTAACTTCACATGTAGATTTGTGTGTGCGCGCATGCGGGCAGTCTGATTGGATATTATGTCCTTTGCTTCGAGGAAGACAATTCCTGCACATTATATCCAATGATAATTTTCAAGAAATGGTCTGGTAATGACTCCAGGTAGCTGAAAGCTTTGCAGCGCCTGGTAATTTTTTATTTTGACTTTTCTGTTGTCGATGACTCTGACCCTTCCGTGCTTTCGGTAGAATGCGCTTTGAGAAGAGAACCTATTTGTGTGAGTGCAGGAAGGAGCCATGCCCTAGTTTAGCACGGCCTTGTTAGCGCAGTGTTTCTCCACTAATAGAGGACAAGGAGACAAGTCCCGTTTGCCTCCTGTGGCTGCAGAAGGTTTAAAAAGCATTTGTTGGGCTTGGCTGAAGTATCCTGCTCTTAGTAATGTGCATTGTAGCAACGGTGGTTAAACCAGACTGAAGCAGTAGGGGGACCTCTCAAGGCAGCAGTCAAGGAGAGAGGGGAGCCTGCTTTACTCAAGTCAAGTTGAGCAGGGGAGCTCTCCTGCTTTCAGCATGGGCCGGGGAGCTGTGCTTTCCCCTTACTTTAACCTTTAAGCTGAGTTAGGTGCTTGATCTTCCAGTCCTTACTCACGGGAGTAGTGCCACAGAGAGGGCTGAATGATTGGGCCTTAACATGTCTGGAAAGGCCTTTTCAGGAGCAGTGGTGAACCTCTCCATCCGTTGGTCAAGGTATTTTCAGAGTCTAGCCAAAGGTGGGTAAAGCATGTACATAGGACCTGTTTGCCTAACGTGTTTTGGCTGATGAAGAGCTCCCGTTCTGCTCTCTGTCACCCTCCCACAATCCAAGCAGTCTCAGTAGGGCTGCTTTTTCTTCACCAGTGCTTGGGAAATCAGGGGCGACCTTCCCTTTGAAATGCGGGCCTTGCTACAGTGATCCAGACCTGTGTCCCCTCGAGGCGAGATGGCTGCTGTGCACTCCCCAGGCGGGCAACCCCTCCATGTCTTTTGGAAACCTAAATTAGCGCAGAAGACTACTTGCTCCATCAGACAGTGAAAAGAAAAGGAGGACTTGTGGCACCTTAGAGACTAACCAATTTATTTGAGCATAAGCTTTCGTGAGCTACAGCTCACTTCATCGGATGCAGACAGTGAACACTCTGTGCTGATGCTCCAAGGTCTGCACCGGCTTCCAGTCAGATTCTAAGTGGAGTCTAAAATGTTGGTTTTGACCCATGAAACTCTCTGTGGTTAGGGCCCAGGCTGTGGGAGAGAGAGCTGCTTCAGCTGACAGACCTCAGGTTTAAAAGAAAGGGGCCTACTGACAGGCTCCCTTCCCTCTGAATGTCTCACTTCCCCCTACTTTTTGCCCAACAAAGCCCAAGTCTGTTCAGCTTTGGGGTGTGTTGCAAGGGACATCTTGGGCCTTGCAGGAAGGGTTGAGTTGGCTGGTTGTAGGGTAGAAGAGGAAGGCTGGTCCAGAGGTTAGGGCTCTTGTCTAGTGGGAACCTGGGGTCAAGTCCTTGCTTTGCCACAGACTTTGAGCAAGTTGCATAGTCTATCTGTGCCTCAGTTCCCCTTCTGTAAAATGGGGGTGGTAGCACTGCCCTGTCTCAGAAGGATGTGGGGAGGATAAATATATTCAAGATTGTGAAGCGCTGAAATATTGTTGCAAAGGGTGCCAGATGTGTACCGTACGTAACTAGCTTATTGTTTGAAATGAGCGATCATTGGGGAACCTTTCTTCCAGAGTCCTTCTCTGGGCTCCTGTCTTTTGTGTAGGGGAGAAATTATTTTTTATTTTTTAATATTGGTGATAGATGCTTTTAATAAATCTAAATACATAAATCCCACTTCACTTCAGTTCTCAACGTCTTTTCCCGTTTACATGGTGTCGGAGGTGCCCAGGATTCTTTGCCACTCCTTCTGGTTCATGGCACAGGTTACAGGCATACACATAGTTTGGGGAGGGCCATGGGGGAGCATTGCTCCCCCAAACTGCAAGTCTCAGGAAGGCGCAGAATTTGTCCCCCCACACACTGCCCCGTTGGCCTGGCTAGAATTGTCTCCCCAAATATAGAAGTCAATCTATCCCTATGGTTATAGGCCCTGGAGTTCAAGTCCTTTTCTCTTCCGTCTTCTCTTGGCAGAGTCTTTCCATTGTATCCTCTATCTTCCATTGCAGTCCCTTTCCTTTGCCGGTCATTCTTCTCCCATTCTTGTCACATGTCTAACTCTCCTCAAATGTGCATTCTCCAGCCAATCCATCAGCAAGAGTCCCAGGTTCATCTTCCCCCTAATTTTTCCGTGCACATTCTGTCTGCCTCCTCTTACCTTACCTTACCTGCCTCAGTATATTGTTGGCTAAATCTAAATACATAAACCCACACTGGAGTTAATTCTTTCTTCGGGGTTGCGCACGGTAGCCCAGGACAAATTGGATCCACCAGCATTTAAAAACTAATCAGTGCCGCCCTATTGACTCTTGCCAACTCTTGCTGCGAGCAGCCCCTGAACAATTCCTAGTCTCAAAATAAGGATGGCCAATAAGGAAGCAAAAACATATTTTACATTTATTTGTTATAAAATAGGCAGTTAGAAAGACAATAAAGGCAGGTAGGGTCCAGTGAGTGGGTAGGGCACTGGTCTGGGAATCCAAAAACCTATATTATATACCCCGCTCTTTCACTGACTAGCTGTGTGACCTTTTGAAAGTCATTCAACCTCTTTGTGCCTCTGTTTCCCCTTCTACCCTTTGTCTTGCCTATGTAGTAGGATTGCCAACCCTCCAGGATTGGCCTGGAGTCTCTAGGAATTAAAGATGAATATTTAATTAAAAAGATGTCATGTGGTGAAATCTCCAGGAATATGTCCAACCAAAATTGGCAACCCAACTATGTAGCTGTTTGCTTGTCAAGACATGGGCTCTTTCTCTTTATGACTTTGGGCAGTGCCTAGCACAGTGGGGCCTTGACCTCAGCTGTGGCTGCTAGTCCCTACCTCTAATACAAGTAACTAATAATAGAAAGCAACAGCATTCGTAAGTACCATTAGTTTATCATTTGTACTGGGGAAATGTTTTTGCATCACTATGTGAATTAAAATGAAGTTCTGGGACACCTGTGCTGACCTCTCTCATTTATCGGCAGTGCATGAAAACGTGTGGGGAAGGGTCCCGGTACCGGAAAGTTGTGTGCGTGAATCAGAATAACCAGGAGGAGGACAGCGTGAATTGTGATGTCAGCAAGCGCCCCCCTGATAGGGAGAGCTGCAGTTTACCGCCTTGCGAGTACATCTGGATTACGGGGGAATGGTCCGAGGTGAGCACCGCAGGGACTCTACCGCAGCGCTCCGCGGCGACTGTCGTTCTGCTGATTGGGCTGTGAGCCTCAACATCGTTAGTCTGATCAGGGTCTGAATGTACCCTCTGAACAACAAGAGCCAAACCCTCAGCGGGAGCAAATCAATGGAGTTCCTTTGACTTGGCTGGAGCGATGCTGATTTGCACTAAGCTGAGGATGTGACCAAAAAGCTCAAGTCTTTCCACACAGGAGCACCATCCCCTTGCCCCCTCCCCACAAGAAAAGAAACGGGTTGATGTGCTGGAGCAGTAATTAGTGCCTGCAGCATGGTGCTGGATACTTTAATTATTAGTTTATTTGTTTCTATGTAGTTTCTCTGTGGGAGAGAGGAACAAAAGAGAGGATATTAAAAAGTAAAGATCAGTCTCCAGTACAGTCCTGGTTGATAACTTGAAGCGTTTTTATTCCCACGTGGATTCCACTTACCGTACAGTGTATATTAAATATGTTTTTATTCCCTTAGTACATATAACATAAGTGAACGCAGTCCAACCACGGCCTCCTGTTTGCACAATTCCACTAGAAATGGATCCTTAGCTGGTGGGAATCTCTATAACTCCATTGAATTCAGTGGAGCTACACTGATTTCATCAGCCTAGAATCTGGCCTTTGAAGATCATCTTAATTACTAGATCCTTCTCTTAATCTTGCATATCGTAGCATTTGAGGGCCCAATCCTGCTCACTTTCCTGACCCCAGCAGTCTCACTGGCACTCAAAGGGCTACTCATGTGAGGAAAGCAAGCAGGATTTGCCACCTAAAACGTGCAGGAGGCTACATGCCAAGGAAAATTGTCTACTTCCCTTTGGAGCCAGAGCTCACCGCAGAAGGAAACGGACTAATCGCAGATTGTTTCTTTCTGCGTCAAGTGAAGGAGTACTTTCCACTTGAAGAGCAACAGACAAACCTGACAAGGCTGCTGCTGACAGAGCATAGATGAGAGAGAGAGGCAAAGAAAGAAAGAGAGACTAAAAGGTGGGGTGGGGAGGAGCCCAAGAAAATACAGGGGAGAGAAATACAGAGAGAGAGAGAGATTTTTGGAAGGACCAGCCTATGACCCAGCATTCCTCAGGCATCATATGGTTTTTCTGGAAAAATGTTCCTTCAAATATGAGAGAATCTACCAAAATATCTGCTTCAGTAACCTACTGTGGGTCCAATCCTGCAAACACTTA